AATTTTCCTCAAAATCCCTTTGAAATTTTACACAAAATTTAATTTTCTCGGTATTCTTTTCGGAATTATTTTGGAACTATAACAGGATTCACTAGAAATTATTCGCAGAATTTTCTTGGAATACTCCTCAGAAATTCTTTGGGACTGTCTTCAGGATTCAATATCCTTTAAGATCTGGAATTGTATTTAGAACTCTGGAATTATATTTAGAACTCTTTATTATTTTTTTCTCAGAACACCTTGGAACTAAATGCGCTAGAAATTTTCCTCGGAATTCGCTTCAAATTTTGCTTAAAATCCCTTTGGAATTTCACTCATAATTTGATTTTCTCGGTATTCTTTTCATAATTATCTTGGAACTATCTGCAGGAGGTACTAGAAATTCACTCCAGAAATATTTTGGAATTCCAGAAAATCCTAGGAATGCAATATTATTGAGGTTCTTCTCGGAATATTTTAGAATTTTTTTTTCTCAAACCACCTTGGAACTGAAATTCCCCAAAATTTTCAGAAAAATTTCCTCTGTATTTTCCAGAAATTCTTCCCAAAATGAGCTTGAAATTATCCTCGAAATTTCCTTGAATTTTCCCCAACATCCCTTTGGAATTGCATTCAAAATTTGATTCTCTCGGTCTTCTTTACGAAATTATCTTGGAACTATCTGCATTATTCACAAGAAATTATTCGCAGAATTGTCATGGCATCATCTCCAGAAATCATTTCTTTTGGAACTTATCTTCAGAATTCATTATCGTTGAGGTTCTTCTCGGAAGTCAAGTTTAAGTTGTCCGTCCATTCACCAAAACGTTGTAGTTTTTTCTACCAGATATGTTCAATAAAGCTTCCCCTCCATTCACCAGAAGTGTGCAATGTTTACATCAGGAATTTTCAATTCAGCTATCGCCTCCATGCAGCAGATTGCTGCAAATATTGTACCAGAAATTTCCAATAAAACTTGCCCCAGAAAATTTTACACCAGAAAATTTCAATTGACCAGACACTTTCAATTTAGCTTGCTTCTCCTATCATCAGAATGTTGCAGGTTTTCCACCAAATAAAGCTTGCTCCTATTTTCAGATTTTTAAGCATAAATTTTCAGTAGAGCAGTTTCCCTCCAATCATCAGAATGTTGCAAATTTTACACCAGAAATTATTATTAAAGTTTGTTCCTCTATTGAGCAAAAGGATGCAAATTTGAGACCAAACATTTTCCGAAAAGCTTGCCCATCCGTTCACCAGAACGGTGCAGATTTTCCTCCAGTAGTTTTCAATATAGCTTAATTTAAATAAAGCTTGTGCCTTCATTTACCAGACCAGTGCAAGTTTTCCACCAGAAATTTTCTGTTCATTTCATTTATCAGAGCGATACAAATTTTGCACCAGAAATTTTCAATAACGCATGTTCCTCCATTCACCAGAACGGTGCACCAAAAATTGCCAGTGAAGTTTGTTTCACAATGCACTTTTGAGGTGCAATTTTCAGGCTTTGCCTCTTCATGCACCAGAATGGTGCAAATTTTCTACCATAAATTTTCAATGAAGCTTGTATTCATCAGAACGATGCAAATTATGCACCAGAAACATGAATAAACCTTGCTTCTACATTCACCACAGTGTTGCGAACGTTCCACCAGAAATTTTCAGTTAAATGTGCACCTCCAAATTTTTTGCGTGATTCAATTTTTCCACCAGCATTATTCATTGATGATATTTTTACAATAAAAAGCTTTTTCTACAATTTACCACCACGAGGGTGAATTTTTGCAACCTTAAATTTACCCCTTTTAACCCTCCATGAACCACTTTGAAAAAACAAATTACACCAGAATTTTCTTGTATGCACCACTGTGGTGCAATTTTTTGACCAAAAAATTTCATTGAAGTTTGTCCATTCATGCACCTTTGTGGAGCAATAAAATGTTTTCAGTGCCCTTATAGTATGAAATGAAGTTATTTACCTTCAAAACAAGTTATCAAGAAATCAAGTTATTTTATATCATAATTTTTAAAATGTAGAAATAAACATCTTATATATAAAAGGAGGGGCAATTGATCTAAAATGCTGCTGATTTCGAGTTGCCGATGAAAGCAAAGCTGTTTAACACGCAGCTCAAATAAAACGGTTGCCGAATAAAAAGATGTTGCTCACAATATTCGCTCTCACTAGAGAAGATTGGAGCTTTGTAAAAGCGTTTCAAAACAGTTTTTGACAATTATTTCGACTGAAATTGTTAGAGCAGCTGGCAGCAAAAGATTGTAAGCAAACCAAAACTGCATATGTGTGCGTTACTTAGCAAAAACGGCTTAATAAAGTTGGTCGCTGCTTAGGTTGCCGAGAATTCGTAAATTCCCCTATACAAAAATGAATTTCTGTCTGTCTGACTTGGAAACTACTCAACCGATCTTCGTAAACATTTGTATGCAGGAGCTTTTGGGGCCGAGAAAGGTTCTTATGATGGTTTGAGACCCCTCTAAAACTAATCAAGCAAATGGAACCAAATTTGGAATGTGGAGGTCCTAGGGGCTACCCTTTAGATAAGAGTGGGGGGGGGGGGGGCTACGTACAATATAGCATGCTTTTTTTTTAATCGTCGCTTAAGCTCAAGCTAACATTGAATCCCGAGCAAGGCCGGTCACACTCAGCTAGTAGGTATATATTAACCAGACAATAGACCTCTCTAACAAGGAAATGGTCACCCTAATTAAAAAAAAAATACGTGTTCAATATTTTGCGATAAGGAACAAAACTAATTTATTTTTACGAAATTCTGAGAACCATTATATCGTTTTGTTATGAAATAACTGCATAAAGGAGAAATGGCTCTAATGTTGGCCTATGCATCTAAGATTGGGCCCATCGCTTGAAATCTGCCATTTATCAATTTTATCTAGATAAACGCGTCATTAGGACGGTACTAATGAATATTTTTGGTCGGTATTGAAAATTTAGTTTATAGGTATATTGAAATCCCCCACCCTCCAACTTGAACAGAAGCGATGAAGACATGTGAAAACATTTATTCGATCTCGTTGAATACTTTTTCTCAAAAACCCCTGTTTTACAAATCTCATTCATTGAGCCTCCCTGAGAGAATAAACTGGTGTGCGAATCTGGCAAACAAATCTCACGCTTGAGATTCTTATGCATTTTCACGCACTCACACTCTAAACGCCAAAAAATCATTTCAGTTTGAAACTCTTAAAAAATAAGCCGCTCAAACGTCAATTGATAGCATGCTTATTCATGTTGTGTTTAGTTTTCCATCAACTGGTGCGAAAACAGCAGTAATAACAATGAATAACGCCAAAATATAAAGCAATGCATTTTTTAACTTAAAAAAAAACTCATAGGCAAATAAATTCACGCATGAGATTTGAGTTTCTTTTTCCGAACACTGGCTTAAGTTAATCTGTTATTTTTGTTTTCCATTCAGTAATCTAGAATTCACTTAATAGGCTCCATTGGACATAACATAATGATCTCCTGGCGGCAAATCATCGCCAATTTAAGCGGTGATGTAATTTTCGAAAAAAAAAAAAATTCAACAATGGAATGACTGACTCATAACATGACATTGTTATCATCTACGCAGCTTAATATAGCGACATGTGCTTCCATCAAGTGAGCTGGCAGCCCATCCCAGTTGATGACTGTTTTGCAGATTGATACAGAACGCAAAACAATACAAGTCGCCCGGTCTTCTCTTGTCTACGAGAAAAATATGGAATTCATAGAATCTGTGTTACGATGTTGAGATAACCCTTTTTTATCTCACGACCAGTATCATCAACAATAACAACAACAGCCTCGGTGCGAATGTACATTTAGATTTTATGACGTGTGAATAGTTTTGCATCTGAGTGTGTGTGCGCTAGAGTGCATCACTTGCGGAAAACTGCTCCAAAACTTTCGGCCAAAGCGATCGATTCTCAACTCACTCAAATACGACCCGGTTATATGACGCGCCCTAATGATGTGCATCCCCGCTTCTCCAGTCTCCGGAACGTGATCTACACCGACTGATAACGGCATTTCACTCGCGTGGTCATAAATCTGAAGATTACATTAATAAACACGAATCCACCGCCGCTCGAAAACAAGAAATATCTCGGTACGTAGAAGATGATTACTCTCTCAAGTCGTCATCGTTTACTGGCTTACCAGATGATAATGATAATAAGCCCAGCGTGATCTGTTCAGGTCGAGCTCGATAGTAAACCGATGATGCGCGCAATAAGGTGTTGTCTGTCCGACACTGTCTCGCCGGAACGGTATCAAATTGATGTCACAATTGTAGATGTAAACAATTCAATTTACGCAACACTTCAGGTGTGATTGATAGGCTCTGGTTGGAAGCTGCAATGTGGAGCATGCCTCCGTTTTTAATTCTCTGTTATATACACGTTCCAAGTAGCCCCACGTTCTCGTTTGTTGTGTTAGATTGCCTATGATTGTGTATGTGTGTGCGTGTTTTGTACATATTAGAACACTGACCGTTACGCTGAATGTTTATGCAAACTGCAGAACCTATCCTTCGTAGATACACGCGATAGCCTTTAGAATTGAATGTATACTTTTCCACTGAAAACTGGAACGAAACAACAACCATTTCAAGAACACATTCGCTCACACAATTCCAACCGACCGTTCGATATGATTGTACCTTTAGCTGCCTGCTATCTATCTGTCTATCCCACGACCGCGTACACTAGAAAAAAACACACTTTCAAAACTAGTGTACTTCTTGTCTGTCTGTACCATAAACCTACCTTGCATCTGTCCGTACTCTGTGGTATGCTAGCCTTGACGTTTCGATGCAAAAAGTAGTTGTTTTCAAGTCGATAAACAAACAAAACACATCACAAGAAAAAAAAAAATAAACGTAACACCGCAGTAGCTTTCTTGTAGGAGTTCACAACCACTCCAGTTTAACCGTAACCAGTTTTTACTGATTTTGGGTTTGTTTTTGTTTTCTTTTCCGATGACGTTTTCATCACAGGTTCTGTCTATGAGCACAGATGACTACCGGAAGGCGACGCTGTTTGCAACCAGTTCCTTCGATCAAGACTTCCAGATTCCGGACTTGATTGGCCAGACGGAGATCCTCAGCGAGGAGCATCGGTAAGTACTTTGTTCAACACATTTGTTTATTTACCTGGAAGCGTTTCTTGAGTCGTTTTCGTTTTTGTGGTGTAGTACACCAACAGCGTGAGCCCAAGGAATGTAGCTGCACAGCAAAAACGAAAACGACATTAGGTTTCTTGTTTGTTGTTCAGAAAGGGCTGTTCATATTTTACAGGGCCTTATTACATCTTACAATCGTGATTTGCTTATGAAAAATATTGTTATGGAAGGGATTTTTCCTTCATGGTCCCTTCGCCATATCTGTATAGCGTAGTCTAATTGTTGGGATTTGTTTTGTTATCTTTTGACAGCATTCTTCTCCAACATGAACCACACAACAATTAAATAAGAGACATTTCCATAAACCACCGTAGATAGCTTTTCAGATATTTTATTTACACTAACCCGTTCCCCCTGTGTGGATAGTGGTCAGTGATGGAATTCTCACCAAAATATCATTTTCGCTTGTGATACGTTTTCTCTTGGGAACTTTCCCTCACTAGTTTCACACTCCAATATTTCCTGAGCGAACTTTCTGGGATGAGAGAATGAGATATCGCGAACTTTTTTAACTCGAATCACCAACGTGAGGATACGAAAAATATCAGATCATATTTTCTCTCTATCTCTTTACACCACATTCGTTCTTGAAAATTGCACTGCACATTTCACAAGGGAAAGATTATAGACAGAAAGCTATCCCGAGTAAATCAATACAATCTCTAAAGACTGATAAGTCTGGTACCTGGCTATCTACTGGCGCCTGTTGTTTAAAGTAGCCGTTATCAGGATGATGTGAACAGTTTTGTGCAACTGATTGATTGGTGCATTGGTTTCTGGCAAAAAAAAATGAATGAATCAGCACAAGTGTCAACGCGACATTAACGTGGAACGGGGAAGGTAGTGTAAGATTTTGTGACTAGCAATTTTTATATTAAAACCGTTCCTCAGGATAGGGGGTTGCGGAAGGAGGAGCGCCTAATGTATCCTAATTTTCACGAAATACAGTTAATGCATGGCTCCTCTCATCACTAGTGTTCGTAATATCGTTCCTGTAAGCTCTTATGCAATAATTATATGCAGGGGGATGGTTGGGAATATAGGTGGTGGTGAACTTTTTCACTGTGCTATTACCAGTGCTGTAAATTCTCAAAATCATTTGAACATTTTTGATGAAAATTAGAAAAGTAGCTATTCGCTATCAAAGGGGACCTCCTCCGAATGGGTGATATCAGTTGCTTAGTCATTTGACGAAGGCATGGATCATTCTCATTTGAGAAACGCTATATATCATTCGATTGAGTGTAACCTACACACAAACGGAGCTCTGGTCGACATTCCGGCGAAAAAGCTAAGCCAACCCGACACCAACCTGACTTCTATCAAACCCCAACCCGATGTTGACCCTACATTGACCCGACATAAACCCAAAATTGACCCGACATTAACACGACATTGGGTTGACATCGACCTTAAATTAGCCTTACATTGATCCGACATCGGGTCGACTTGTCTGTTCGGGACCATTTTCCTGGATTTCTTCCATACTCCACTGTCGTATATCAAATGATACTGAGTGACTCAATTCACAGTGACAATGAGCTTCGAATGAGAAAGGGGCTCTTCAAATTATGGTCATGTGAGAATTCGTTTACACAGAATTGATTGAATGGTTGTAGTGGTTCATCTTCAATCGAATGATATGAAAATTTACAGCACTGGCTATTACTGTCCTCTCCCATGACTAGGAATCCTGTAAAACAATGTAAAACTAGAAAGGGTCTAGACCCTCCCTATGTAAAACCATAAGGTATGCGGGACTGCTGCACTGCTGAACTTCAAAACGCTTTATTTGCTGACCAAGGATCTGACAAAAACATCTTTTTAGTGTGCAATTTAGGATGATAAAAAATTTAAACAGGTTATTCAATGTCCATTAAAACTGTAAAAAATATAGGCAGAAAAAAAAGAAAACAAAAAAATATTACCAGTTGGCTGGAAATGAACACAAAATTAATCAAAGTACCATGTACCTTGAGCTTTTGATATAAAGGGTTATATGGTCAAAATTTGGTCAATATCAACTTGACGTATTTCTTTCAATTTTGCATTTAAAAAACCTGAACACCCCTCATTTTGAAGGTGTGTGTGTGTGTAGAATGTTGCTCCTATTTTGATTTTGGAATTCACTCTTCAGTTGTCAAAATGCCGTCCAAGCAAGAAGAGCAGCGTATCAAAATTTTGCTCGCGCATCGCGAAAATCCGAGCTACTCGCACGCAAAGTTGGCAAAATCGCTAAAAGTTGCCAAATCAACCGTTACAAATGTAATTAAAGTGTTTGGGGAACGTTTGTCGACAGCCAGGAAGTCTGGATCGGGGGGAAATCGAAAACCGGAAGCCGCTGAGACGACAAAGAGAGTGACAGATTGAGAACGATCTAAATTTTCCGTCCACAAGTATTGCAAGACTTGAAATTAACAGACAATCTCAAAATACTTTCAACTTGCGAAGTGATAGATTCCCAAGTAAATACACCTGCTGAATAAAAATTATCAAGTAAACTATTTTTTTAGAATCGATGTTTAATAGATTTTTTTTTGCAGTTTGAGATCCATGAAAAAAGGTACAGTAGCTTTATGGCACCAGTGACCAGCAAATTTAATATTTTCATTCAAGGTTGTGTGGAAATTCAAGCTACCGGGCGAGCTACTGGGTTAAATTGCTGTCCTCTACCTAATGCAGTCGAGTGATCAAATCAGAAAGTTAGCAGATTAGAAATCAATTAATAACTAATTTCCTCAACGTTAAATTAAAAAGTGGTCTTTAGAAAAAAAATGTAGCTGAGAAAATTTCCTATGAGTACACAAGGCAAATTTATTGGTAGATCATTATGGCGAAATTTAAAGACGAGGTGAACAAAATAATCACTTTTCCCATAGTAATACCTTTATAAATTTTAGATGGCCATTGCAGAATGAGATCACAACCCAATAAGCTAAAATTTTGGGAGAATTATCTGAACCTGATTAAAAATCGATTGAAATTAGTGAAGCAAACCCGATATTTTGAACCACCCTAATAAGCATGTTCTCAATGCAGTAAGACTAATCAACAGAATGCTTGCTAGCTAACACTAAACATTTCTAAGCGCCAATCTCAGTGGTCTAACTGTATTTCGCACTAATAGCATAGTTCTTCTTGTCGAAGAGTACAGCCACAAATGATGATTTGGTCAGCAAAGATTAGACTCTTGGTGAATAGTTACAAGTATCTACTATTAGCTGGTTGCATTGAGAACTAAAACTATAAATAAATCCGGAAAACTTTGAGATTAGGGCGTAATTTCTTTTGTAAACACACACTTAATTCGCCGATTTCTCGTGAATTAAAGTTCAATCTAAAAAACTAACAACACAGACAGGTAGAGGAATGATTCATTTGGTATAGTATAGTTCGCTAGATTGTGCTTTGATTCGTGAGAAATCGTTGAATGACGTGTTTGTTTACAAAAGCAATTACGCCCAAATCTCAAAGTTCTCTGGAAATGGTATTTAATGTGAAGGATGCGAAAAATATCGGAGAACGAGAAGAAAACAAACAGACACTCTCGCGTGATCATCGCCTACCTTTACTCGCTGGAAAAAAAAGAACAAAGCTGAGGGGATATTTGGTTGGTTCGAATCACGAGTACGTGTGAAATGATGTGAGATGGAGAGACGAAAGATCTTTCGCGATACGAAATGAAAATTTCTCTCGCTCTACGCTTTCATGAACTTTTTATCATCTCTCGTTCGCGAACTTTTTGTGAGAAGTTCCTTTGGGATTTATCTCTGCAATGAGCTGTGATAGAACTTTTTTTGAAAATGATTTTTCCAACACTGATAGTGGTTCATACTTTTTTTTTTTTTTTTTTGTCTATGCAGATTTTGTTTTTCCTTGATTTGTTTTCCATACTGAGTACTAATGCTACCTACATCAACTCATGGACCGGTGACCAACGGCTTTACTTCCCTTCCGAAGGAAGCCGTGATCAGAGATTGTATGCCTCAGAAATCCCTGACGGCGCCTTTGTAGTGAGAGGCAATCACGCTTACCACTACATCACCGGCACTGCTGTCTATGCCGATTGATCCGGTCCGTATTTACATTGTTAACTTCCTGTACTGTTGTTTTTACGGCCAACGTCCCAACAAACAATTTGAGCTGATTAAACGCTGACTAAAAATAAATTGGAAGGCACAAAAAGACCTGTAAATCGTGATTCAATAAGTGTAAGAAGTCCATTAATGGTTGGTTTGCAGTACTTTTATTAAAACTTCAAAGTTACAGCATTAGATGGTTGTATTTCTCCAGTTCGAATGAAATCTCGAACTTTCCTCTTGATGAAGCCCATCAGCGCCCGCACAGTGAAAACGGACACGGAATCAGCGTATTTCTTCCATTTTGCCCGCATTTGCTGGATGTCCTTGACCGCCCCACCGCTTCATCGAAGTCGCTGCTTTGAAATTGCCCAGTATTTTTCGATTGGATGAAATTCCGGACAATTCGGAGGATTCATTAGCTTGGGGACAAAATCGATCTTGATGGCAGCATACCACTCCAGAACCACCGTGGAGTAGTGGCAGCAGGCCAAATCGAGCCAAAAGATGACTTTGCCCCTATGCTTGCGGATGAACGCCAATACACGATTTTGCAGGCATTCTTCGATGTAAACTTGGGATGTCATCGTCGAGAATGTGACGGATGGTCCCGTTTTCAGGCCACCACTGCAAATAGCTTGCCAAATCATGGCCTTCTTCGCGAACTCGTCGGCAAACACTAACTTGAGTCTTACCGGCACACCCCCACGTCCAGTTGCGATGTAAAACTTTTGACCGGGAAGCTGCTTAAAATAAAGTTTGACGTATGTTTCGTCATCGATCAAAGTGCAGTCCTTATGTTTCGTCAAAACACAGTCGTACAAGTGCATTTCACGCTTTTTAAACACGGAATTCTGC